AGTGTCATACTTAAGAATCCATTGCCAGATCTGAGGTTATGAAGATTGATGTTTTTTTTCTAACAGTCTTTATAGCTTTTGTTATTTCATGTCTTTGATCCATTTTTATACATGATCTGAGCTAAAAGTTAAATTCCATTTTCTTGCATGTGATGACCAGTTGTCCCAGCACAATTTGTTGAAGAGACTTTTCTTCCTCCAGTGAAAAATTTTGGCACCCTTGTTGACTTTTTAATAGTTTAAATATTTAAATAAGTTGACATGGTTTTTGTTTCAGGTCTCTCATTTTCATTGATCTATATGTCTGTCTTTATGCCAGTACCACGTCTTCATTAATTAGCATTGCTGTGTAGTAAGTTTTAAAATTAGGGTGTGAGTTCTTCCTCTTTGGTCTTTTTAGAGATAGTTTTGGCTACTCTGGATCTGTTGCAATTCAGTATGAACTTTGGACTCAGCTTGTCCGTTTCTATAGGAGGTTAGCTGGGATCTGATAGGGACTGTATCAAATCTGTAGGTCAGTTTGGGAAGCATTGCCATTTTAAGATTAATTCTTACAGTCCATAAATATGGGATGTTTTCCATTTATTTCAATCTTCCTTAATTTAACAATGTTTGTAGTTTTTAAGAGTGTTAAGTTTTGTGATTTCTTAAACTTTTACCCAAGTATTTTATAAATCTCCATGATACTGTAAATGAAATTGTTTCCTTATTTCATTTTTGAATTTTTGCAAATACACAGAAATACAATTTATTTTTTTAGTAGATTCCTTAGGATTTTCTGCATACCAGACCAGTCTGTCATATGCAACCTAAACTTTTAATGCTGACCACAACTCTAGTAAACTCCCAGAAATCAATACCAGAGTCTTTTACAGTTCTGAATCTCTGCTCTGTATGTTCTGCACTGCTCATAACTCCTACGATTTTTGAGGTGGGATTAAATCAACAAGTCCATCTGAATTTCAGTAGCATTTATCAGCAAGATAGCACAATTTCTAGGCAAAGACTTTTCATAGGAACCTTTCAAAGAATTTGTTCTCTGAGAAAAGTTGGTATGAAACTTAATGTACAGAATGTGGAAGAAAAATCACAGCCCCATTTGTTTCCCATATAACAGAAAGTCATCAGCTATATGGTGAGTGTCAAGAGAATCTCATACTTACAAAATGGATCTTGACCAGGGTTCACTCCTGAACAGATAGGGACAGGAATCCAGAGTGTGGTGAAGTAGTACACATGAGCAAGAAACATCTTCTAAATTTAATTTTTAGTAGCTTTGTTTTCCTTATAAAATCACCATAAATTTTTTAATGAAATTGAGAAAAATATAATCCCACTAATTAGAAATAATCAATTAGCATTTGGTTTATATCCTTTCATACTCTTTTACTATGTACATAGACACAAGAGATATGGTAATAACAAATTTTTAGTCTTTTACTATGTCACACATTCTAAGCATCTTATGTGGATAAACCTCATTTACTCTTCATGACATCATTGTGGAAACTAATATGGTTACTCCTACAGTTATATTTAAATGGGAACACACTAGCCCTGGCTGGTGTGGCTCAGTGGATTGAGCACCAGCCTGCAAACCAAAGGGTCGTGGGTTTGATTCCCAGTTAGGGCACATGCCTGGGTTGCAGGCTAGGTCCCCAGTTAGTGGCGCACAAGAGGCAACCACACATTGATGTTTTGCTCCCTCTCTTTCTCCCTGCCTTCCACTCTCTCTAAAAATAAATAAAATCTTAAAAAATAAATAAAAATAAATGGGAACACACTATATATAGCATCTTTTTCAAATTTAACATATCATGGATATATTTGTGCTAAGAAACAGATCCATATAACCTATTATTTTTAAACCTCTGTTCACAAAGCTTGAACTCTTTTACTTGCCTATAAAACCTTGTGTGAGTACCCCAATGTAACAATTAGTATTTTTAATAACCAATCTGATATTGTAGTGTCTTAGCTGGCATTTTAGTATTGTTGAAGCAGAGTACTTTTTCATCTATTTAATGACACATTTTTATTTCTTCCTTAAATTATTCACACTTGTCCTTAACCCACCTTTTTGAATGCTGGCATTTTTATTAATTTGTAGCAGTTTTTTATATTTATAAAACTAACCCTTTAAGAAAAAAATACGCTGCAAATGTATTTTCCCATTTTGTTGCTTATTGTGTGTTTTTGCCACCTTAAGAGTTTTATTTTTGTTTCAGGTCTATTAGTCTTTTTGGTTTCTGCCTTGGTTTCATGCTTAGAAAAGTTGTTTTCATCCTCAAGATTATATAAATATTTGCTTATATATTCTTGTTATTTATGTGATTTTTTAATATTTTAAATGTTTAACCTTACAGTAGTGTTTTGATGTGGTATGGGGGAGATATGTGACCTTATGCATAGAAAGTTCTTCTGACGTCATTTATGGAATAGCCTCTAATCTGGAGAGCTATCATTTCCCCTTTATTTGCCAAAATGTAAAAAGACCATTTATAACTTTTTTGTTAAATTATCCTGCTTCCTAATTAAACCAGATGGAAGTTTTAATACTAGAATAAGGAACATTTTCTAATTTAGCGGGTTTACTTCTTGAGCAATAAAAATACTTAATTTGTGTTGAGTACTTACTCTAAACTAATAGTCATACTATACTTGTTCTTGGATCAACTCTTTAATCCTTAAGACAATACCTATGAGGTTCATACTGTTATCCCCATTGTGTATATGAGGAAAATGAGGGAAAGGAGCAGAGTTTAATATTGCATAGCTGGTATGTTTCAGTCATGATTTGAACCCAGGTTTATTTAATCCAGAGCCCATATTTTTACCTACTCTGCTATCCTGCTTTACAGAATACTTGCAGATGGGTAAAGAATTTTTCAGATTAGCTTCCTGCCGCCCACCAATTAAAAACTGTCTTGTAGTCATACCAAATAAGTATGAAAAGGGGTAAAAAGGTAACTCTATCCCTGACCATACTGACCCATTCCAGATAAACAGATAATCTGAGATCACAGAAAAGTTGGCCATGTTTATTTGAGGAAAATTATTTCTAAATATGATTTGGTCCTAGAAAGTGACACACTGAAATCATCGTATTTCAAAAACATAACGCTTTTCCTTGTTCTTATATCATTTGCCATCTAATTTTATTGTTCCTTAAAATGTTATCCTCCTTTCTGCATGTTTTCAGTTATTTTATGAAATTCTAGCTAGAAATAAGAATATAACTAGCAGTTTTCCCTTCTCACTATCCTCAGGAATATAATTCTCCTCTATGATAATCTTAAGGCTTCATGGCTCTTGGGTCAAAATTCCAAATCTAGGATACTAGCTTAGCAGTTCCACTGATTCCCCATCAGTCTTTGACCCAAAAAAAATATATATATATAAATAAACACTATAAAAAATTAACAAGGCTTATAGAGGTGTATAATATAAATTTTGTCAAGAGATGAAAGTTTAAACCACAGAGGACTAAACCAAAGTATCAGAACAATTGAAAGTGAGCTTCTTCCTACCCCCATAGTAAATAACAGTCATTTATAGATTCAAAATACTTTAAACTGAAACTAAATTTTGAGATTGGAAGCTGCTAACAGGCTCAAAGTCAATCCCTCTTTTAAATGTGGTAATGTTCTCTTATCAGAGGATATGTATAAACAAAAATAATGTATCTTTCTTTAGCAACAGGCCTATCTACCTATTTCAGGGCTTACTTAAGAACTAAGTAAAATGTAACTCCTATAAATTGTTAGCATTGAAAAACTTAGTTCAGAGATGAAATTGCTTAAGAGATTTCAACCATCAGGAATTTAACAATAATAATCAAATATTTGAAAATTTTTGTTATTTGGAAATGATCATATATTCGACAAAGTTACCATAGTGGAGCAGATTTGCATTAAGCCTAAACTTACTGATTTAGGTGTGATAAATTTGGAAATATTTAGACTTCACTAGGTATAAAATAGTGTGGTGATCTATTAAAGATTAAGAATGTCTACTTATAAAATATTATAAAATAGAAGTTAATACCCACCTCACTCCAGTGATTTAAACTTCATTCCTTACTTGAGGCTATTTTATTTATTTCTCAGGTGCTTTTGTAATATAAGACAAATACCTCTTCTCTCTCCACATAAGTAAAGATAGACCTTAGAGATATAGTGGGTTCTGTTCCAGACCACCATAGTAAAGCAAGTATCACAATAAAGCAAGTCATAATTTTTTCCATTTCCCAGTGCATATAAAAGTGATGCTTACACTATACTGTATTCTATTAGGTAGACAATAGCATGGCGTCTTTTTTAAAAAATGTACATAAATTAAAACATACTTTATTGTTAAAAATGCTAAGCATCACCTGAACCCTCATTGAGTCGTAATCTTTTTACTGGTGGAGGGTCTTATCTTCAATATGTAAAAAAATGCAGTATCTGTGAGGCACAATAATGCAAAATGCAATAAAACAAATCCACATAAGTAAACAGATGGTCTCTAAATCCTCGACTCAAAAATTAAAAGTGTCTGACATTCTATAATGTGTATTCTCCACCTCCCTCTGTACTCATCTTAAACAAGCCTAAGGGCTTATTCTATAAGTCTTATTTTTTATTCTATTCAAACATTAGTTGTAGTTGCTAAAATACCAGCTTCAGAACTGAACTGCTTTATCTAATACTCATAGGCATGTGGTGACAGCATATAATGTTATACATTTCAGTTAGATTTTTTTTTATCACAAATGTCAATTACAAGGTATAAAGAGAACTAAAAACAGTAAGAGGTAAGTAAATGGTGATAGGAGATATTTTGTATAATTGGAAGGTTTTGCTGCAAAAGGTCTTGCAACTATTTTTTCATTTGCTCTGTAAAAAAAATTCCTGTGTATTTCATAAAATGGCAAGCATATAGTAAGGAATAACTTTACTACATTCACAATGCAATTTTTATATGATTGTTTAATTTCAAATTTTTGTGTTTTTCAGACAATATTTTCAGAATTTATCACTATTGAAATGTTATTTCATGGCAAAGCTTTAGAGGTCTTCACTGCTGCCTACCAAAATATACAAAAGATTGATGAAGAAGAAGATTTAGAGGTACGACTATGTCTGTCTAAGCTCACTTCTTCTATTAATATTGAAATATTTAAAAGACAGCTATTAGCGTTTTGTAGTAAAAATATCTTAAGTTAGAATACTACAGTGGTTAATTTGTCATTGTGTACAGTCCCAAATAGCTGAACTCCTATGATTTTTTATTTATTTAACTTTTCAAATTAACCATGGTAAAGTTCCAAGAATTAATTTCTTAATAGCTAGTAAAATGTAATCTAAATAAAGCCATTACATAAAATAACATATCATTTTGACTGGTAATAAGTCACTTTAGTGTGCTCAAAATAACATTCATTGATTTGAGCTAACATTTGAACGTTTACGCCATGCACAGTACCCAAAGCTGTACATGCAGTTCTCTCATTCACTCCTCAAACAATCCTCTGAATAGGTGCTGTTATTATTCTCATTTTATAGCCATGAAAACAGGTTTAGCTGCTTTAAATAACATGCCCACGGCCACTTAGTTAGTAAAAAGCAGAATCAGGTTTCTAGTCAGCTTTCTGTGACTTAATCTATAAGCTGTGAAATAAATGTAGGCATATATGAATGGCTTGCATTGTACAGATAGTTAAATGCAAATAAATCTGGCCAACTAACATTAAAGCAATTAAATATCAAAGCCTGGCAGCAATAAGCATATCTGAAGAGTATATAACCTACCCTCTTACCTTCCAAAAGAGAGGGAAAAAAACACAAAGTATTTTTGCTGAAATAGATAAAGTGAATATTCAAGACATACTTAGTACTTACTATTTCTAAAGAAATGAAAAAGGCTTTGTTTTCTCAAGATACAACCATCTGTATTAATAAGTAGTACAATTTGGGAGTGTCTGCCATTTGACAATTTTGAAGATTCCCCCAGTTTCTTTTTTACTAACTTCCACAAGCTTTTCACTGCTACACTGGTTCCAGTAAAACCCAATTATATGAAAAAAGGTACATGTTTAGTATGTGTAGCTTTCCAATGCCAAAACCTATAGCAGCAGTTTTATCAGTTACACATAATAATTATATTTACATTTACTGTTTGTCAATAGATGGCTTCCTAAGTGCCCACTCCTTCTAGATACTAAAGCTAAGATTTCTTAATTTTCATTCCTTTTATGGTCCTATTTTTTTAAATAGAATATCAAGCTTTTATCTTGATTTGTAAAATAAAATATCAAATGCTTATATAGTGATTATTTTGGGCCAGCTACTCATCTTATGCATTTTATTTTAATCCATCAACTTTGATAAAAGTACTTATTGCTCTCCTTTCTATGGATGAGAAAACTGAGGTTAAGAAACTTCCCAGAGGCTCCCATAGCTAGTAAGGTTAAGAAACTTCCCAGAGGCTCCCATAGCTAGTAACATAGCTGAGATCCAAATCCAGTAGCCTTATAACACTGTTTTTATCCTCTCTACACTACTATACTGCCAGAAGTGTGGTTCTTCATGAGTGACATGAACTATTTCCTGCAGAAACAATACTTCACTGAGTAACAGGTTCAAAATTGATGCCTTCTAATACCCCTGACATGCCATTTAACTGACACTAAAATTCCTTCAACCCTTCGAACCCCAAGATTTTCCTCCTCATTCCAGAGGCCCTAGATATCTTTTTTGTCACACCACTTCCCTTACAGCTTCTCTTGCCACTATTTTTAATCAACTAAGTAGCTTGTGTGAGGAGAGATAAACTAAAGATCTCAGGGCTGTGTGGTATATCTGTTTTTGCGTATCACTTCCCCACTTTCTAAAGGGAAAATATTGAGCAAGTTAACTTTTTCACACTTCAGCATCCTTATCTCTAAAATGGAGGTACTTACAGTATTTACCTCATAAAATGTTCATTCAACAACTATTTATTGAGCACCTGTTATATACCAGGCACCATTCTAAGTGCTGAGGACTTAGCATTTTAAGTTAGAAATGTACTTCAGACAATAAAAAGTATACATACTGTATAAGTATTTAAGTTTTATAATGTAATCAGTCTCATAGGGAAAACATACAGTGTGCTGTGAGTGTAATGTCATGGAGGACTCCAAATAGTATGAAGCATCAAAAGAATGATTTAATTAGAAGTTTGAGGGATGAGTAGGAGAATGCCTGGCAACAACTTTCAGAGAGAGAGATGCAAAGGTTCTGAGGCATAACAAATTATAGGTACAAACTATTACTATTATGCCATACAGAAATTGTGGAGAAGAGAACAGTCTGCAGAGTTACAGGGCCAAGGGAAGTAAAATTATATCAAACAGGTACCAAGAAGAGGAATGATCTTTTAAAAGCAAGGTTTCTTGGAAATAACTACAGGAAATATACAGAGAAGGACAGAGAAATAACTTGATATTCTTCTTAGGTAGTCCGTGCTTATGAGAACTACCAAGACTTATTCTGACAGCACTTAATTTTTCATAGTTAGGCATCTAGCTGTATCACAAATCATCTTACCTTATTTGTTCTTCACATAAAAAGTATTCTCTGGCCCATTTGTTCTGTGCAACTACTTCAGAGCATATTTAGATCTTCAGACTCACTCCTAGAAGAGATCTTGGGCCATACTGGAAAATGCATTATTGCCAATCTGTAAATCTGTTGTTTTGTAATGAGATTCATTTTAACTGGTTTAAAATTTTAAACCAAGGGTGTATATTGCCTTTCAGTTCCTATTCTTAACTTCATTTTGCTAGAAAAGTTTAAAAAAATCTTATTCTAACAAAAATATATCCCTTCCAAATTCCTGTTGATAAATGAGTCATCCAGCTTTTATATCACACCAACATGCCAGTGTTCCATGTCTGGCACCAAACACAATTGGGTCCTCAGTAACCTGTTAAATAACCTAATTAGCATGCCTGAATTGCCCTAAAACACAAATCTTGCCTCTTGTGTTAAGTTTCACCCCTTGATTCCTTTTTTGTTCCATACTTCTCTAAGGTTTAAAGAAATGCATATAGACATCCTCTAGTTTGGGTCTCCTTCCCCCCTCCCCAAAACATTAGAATTAAGTTCATAGTAACATCATTAATTTACCAGGTCACTGTCTTAAGCTTGGAAAGATAAAACACGACTCCTTACATTAGAAGAACTTAAAACCAGTTATGGAGACATAATTACAAAACAGTGAGATGAAGGCTGTATTAGGGTATGAACAGTAGGAGCTATTGACTAGAGAATAGGAGAAAGCAAAAGATGGAATTTGACTTGGCTTTTGAAAGTTGAGTGAATTCCAGGATGAAAAACCAGCATTGCAAAGTCAGAATATAACATGTTCCGCATGCAGGCATATAGGCTAGAAGTGAAAAGTGATAGGTAGATTTGGGTGATCTTAAGCTGTGGATGTCACCAAGACATCTGAACTCTGGGTAGTCAGGAGCCATATAATATTTTGGTATGGGATTCATATTTTGATGTTTAGTAAGGTCATTCTAAGTAAGCCATAAAGGAAAATATGTAGTCAAAAATTAAAACAGAAGTACAGTCAAACCTGTTTTCAAACATCTCCAATCTCAAACAGTTCAGTAACAGATTCCACTGTACCTCAAGGAATTTAGGCAGAATGCTCAGGCTTCTAGCTTGGTCTACTAAATGTATGGTAATGTCTCTCATTGTAAAGGTCAATCTAGAGCTACACTGTCCAGTGTAGTAGCCAGTAGCCAAATGTGGCTCTTTAAGGTTAAAATAAAAAATTTAATTTCTCAGTCACAGGAACCACATTTCAAGGGCTCAGAAACCACACACGTGGCCTCTTTGGACAGCCTAGAACAGTAAGCATTTCCATCATCTCATTAAGGTCTAGTGGACAGTGCTGATCTTAAGAGAATAGAAGGCAGCTGGGAGCATAAATACAGCCATCAAAAGAGGTCCATAGAGAACTGGTTGAAGGGTAGCCAGTAAATACTATAGGTAAGATTTTCAGAGAAAGGTGTCAAGAAAAGGAAAAGTGGCCTAAAGGAAGTTCTTCAAAAATATTTATGGTGCAAGGAATAAAAGAGAAGATGTGAAGTAATAGAGCAAGTGCACATGAAAAGTTGAGTGAAGGCATGCTTTGGGAAGTAAGTTTCAGTGCAAGGTCAGTGAAGATGACAAAACAATGACTGGTGATTTTTGCAAGAGCAATTTCAGTGGAAGGTAAAAGCCTAATTATAGTTTACTGACAAATGAATGGAGAAGTAGAATATTAGAGAATTTTTTTAAGGAATAAAGTTTTATCTTAAAGTAAATAAATAAAAAAGAAAAATTGATTTTGAGTTTGTTTGCTTTGGGAGGGAACTATACAGAGAGAAAGCTTTTATTTGCTGGTTTGGTTTGAGGTTTTGGACTAAGGAAAAAAATCACCTTGGAAAGCGTCAAAATGACATTTACTTTAAGGGAAAAAAAAACATGAGGTGAAGAGTTAAGGAAAAGGGGAAGGAAGTTGAAGAAATTCACATCTGATAACCTTACCTTTTAGTCTACATATTAGAGAAATGGGGCAAAATAAAAGATACATGTAGGAAGGCTTAAAAAGTGGTAAGATCTGGAACCACAGCTTTAAGGAAAAAGAATTGACAAGTAATGGCAATCCAGATCCTAGTGAGATTGGAATCCATAAATTATAGTGGGTCTACAATGGAGTTATATTGGTAAGAGCTGAGGATAGGCACAACAGAAAGAATCAAAGGTGTGCTTTGCAGCCTTCCTGCTGGCTTGCATATTCTTTTGAGGTGTAAACTTTCCCATTTCCCCAGCAAAATCTCTCAAGTGTCAGTTTCAGGATCCATCATTATCATATATTGTTCAAATAGAATTTTTTAGCTTTCAGCTTTACAACTTAAAATATTTAATTTTTTGTTTTGAGTTTATAATAAATAATTGAAATTTTATACTGGGGGATAGGGGTTGGGGAAGGTTACTTTTAAAAGAATCTTAGCCCTGGCTGGTATGGCTCAGTGGATTGTGTGCCAGTCTGTGAACCAAAGGGTCACAGATTCAATTCCCAGTCAAGGCACATGCCTGGGTTGCTGGCCACATCCCCAGTAGGGGGCACACGAGGCAACCACACACTGATGTTTCTCTCCCATTCTCCTTCCCTTCCCCTCCCTAAAAACAAATAAAATTTTTAAAAACATTAACTAAGAGGAATTTAACATGGCTTTCTAGATTTCCATTATTTAATGTCTACTTTATAATGTTTTATCATTGCAACAGGTTTTTCGAAATTCTCTGTATCCACCAGATTATTCATCTCGTTTAGATATTGTAAGAGCAAATTCAAAGTCACCTCTTCAGAGATCTCTGTCAGCTAAGTGTGTATCTGGAACAGGACAGGTGAGCTAGAAACCATAACTTTAAAGAATTTGAGCTGCTGCCGTTGGAATTGTTTAGTACTAAAAATGTTTCCCTTAAATCGTATGATCTCATGTAACTTATCCTTCCTTACCCTCTTAGACATAATGGTACCAGACTGCACTCCGTGCATCTGTTATTTCTTTTATTATGTTTTATGCAGTAACACATACTATTCTCTAAAGCAGAACCTTCAGAGCCAAGATACAAAGGACAGGAGAATGCTAATCTAGATTTGTTCTCTGGTATAATATGAAGAACAGAGATTCTAAAGTCAACCTACTTAGAGTTTAAGTCCCATTATAATGACTTACTGGAAATTATACCTAAAAAGTGCCTTTCCTGGACATTACCCATAAATCCAGAAGCACAGATCTTTAGGTAAAGAGCCAGTTTTCTCAGTCTATATCCAGAAAGCCTGAGTTACCAGGTATATAGAACAGGAAGGGCTCAACAACCTTCTTCTCTAAGGGACCACAAAGGAAAATAATAGATTTTGTGGGCTGTACATATGGTCTCTGTTCCATCTAAGAGCAGCCATAAGCAATACATTTAAAAAAAAAAAAAAAAACAATAAATGGCTGTGCTGTAATAAAACGTTATTTAAAAAAAAAAAAAATGCAAACTAGGCCATGGCTGGCCAATTCCTGATCTGGAGAGCTATGTGTTTTTCATACCTTGCCTTCAGAATTTAAAATTGAGCAAAATATTTTCAAAATAAAATTTTTAGGTAAATATGACCCAACACCTTCTGTTTTCATCTGTCCTCTACATTATCTACTTACTACTTTATATTCATGCATCTCTCCCCTTAAACAATTTACCTTAAGATTCCAACATTAAATGACGTACACATATATTACATAAGTTTAGTATTCCAGTACCTATGAAGTTCTGTGTGACTATTTAGAGTTAATGATGTTACACCTAAGTTAGATAACATCTCCGTAGCATTGGAGAATACATTACCCCAGGGTTTCTCAACCTCAGCACTATGGACTAAGAGCCAGATAACCTGGTGATGGAAGAGGTGGTACTGCCCTGTGCCTTGTAAAGATGTTGAGCAGCACCACTAGTCACTACTGAAGAGATGCTACACACAGAAGCACACACCCCCATTTGTGACAATTAACAATGTCTCCAGACACTGCCAGATGTCCCCTGGAAGGTATAATCACTCTCAGAAAGGTTTAGAAGAAGATGACAAAGTGATAACAGTCAGCATTTAAAGCTAAGTGGTGAATTCAGACTGTCGATTCCTTCTATTTAAGTTACTCTGTTTTTAAAGTTTACTATTTCAACTGCCTCCTTGAAATATCCTTGTGCTTTTGCCATCCCTTTGATCATTCTCAACGCTTTGTGACCCAAGAATTGTTTAATTTAAATTTTTTTGACATTCATAATATACTGAGACTATACTTTTTTCCGAAAGTATTTTGTTATTGAAGTACTGACATCCAACTGGAATGATTTTCAATTTTTATTCAAAAAATAACATGAATGGAAAGCCTTTTGACTGGTTTCCACCTAAAAATGTAGTAACCCATAGGGAATTTTCATTACTAAAAATCATTATTTATGGACACTTTTCTGAAGTATTTGTTTTATGTGCCCTTTTCTGTGAGGGCATGTTTAAAATACCAAGCATGTACAAACATACATTTTTTAAAATGTTTTCTTAACAGGTATCCACCTGTCGACTAAGAAAGGATCAACAAGCAGATGATGATGATGAAGAGGATGAAGACTTAGATGTAACAGAAGAAGAAAATTAGTTTATGAGGACAAAGATGTAACAGAAGAAAATTCATTTTCTTAAGTAAACTTCACATTTCCATTTTTATCTTAAATGACTTGGAATCCAAAATCACTAAATTTTAAAACTTTATACTGGTTTGATACATTAAACCTCAATATGAAATCCTACTGGAAATGAAAAATAAAGGAAATTTATGCTGACAAAAATTAAGGCTTTAAAAAATATTACACACCAGTCATTTTAACATCCTGTCTAGCAGTATGTGATCTTTTTGTATAGGTTCCATTTTTTAAAAAAGATTATGTATTTTCAAAGTATTTCATATTAATTACCTAGTTGAGGTTACAATAGATGACAAAAAAGAAAATATTTAACAATACCACTTGCTTCCTTTAAGTTAGGACATCATGCTTTCATGCCTTCATTACCAGAAAAGAGTCCTTAGTCATTCTGATTAAATACGAATTCTATTCTGTGAAGTCTTAATCAAAAAAAATCTTTCACTTTTACTATAACCTGAAGTTTTATCTTTTAATACATAAATTTACTTTTCAACAAGAGCATAATCACCCTTGATTAAAAGTAATGGGAATCTAGGATGTCAGTGTTCTACAACTATACATATAGCACATATTTCAGCTTTTAAAAGCCACATTCAGCCTGATACTAGTTTTAAAACAAAACTGCTGTCATACTCAAGTTGTCATGGTACTACTGCAACTTTTGGAAAGCTGTAATTTGGTGGAATGTTGCCTAAGAAAACACTGTGGAAAGGCATAAATCATTAAAAATTCTAAGAAAATTTTACCAAATTACCGTCTAATAAAAAGGAGTATATAGTCACAATTATTCCTGAAAATGTAAAACTAATTAGAGCTTTTCAATGCATCTGATGCTTTTGTTTCTTTGAATGGGGAATTGTACTTTGTTATTTCATGGATCCCAATCAGGCATATACAAACTAAGAAATTTACAAAGTCATTTGGGAAAACTACAAAAAGCAATCATTCATAACAAAAACAAAGACTTTCCAGAATGTTTTTTTGACTTTGTTATTCATGGTTCCATTCCTAACAAAGCACTGTTTCCTGAGTGAATAGTCTTATGTGATAAAATTACTTCAGTACTTTAAAATATTCAAAACATTTAAAAATCCTAAATAAATTGGTATTCTTAAGGAACTGAAGATATCACTGCATTTTTATTTTCCCAGTACTTAAACCTAGTGGTGTACTTGAGAGAAAAACAAAGTTAATTTCTTTTGCTGCAACTTGTGAGCATGAGTTGCCCAATCTGTACAGTGAAAACAGTATGACATGTAAAACAATCAGCAAATAATTAATACAGAATGTATGTTCTGCTTACCTCAAAGAAACACTCTTAAGGACAAAAGGAATACGATACATAATACTTTCATTGATGTAAAATTAAGTTTCTTTTAGACTAGACATAGCTGCAAACTTTTCCTTTAAAGGCTAAGTAGTAAATATTTTTTTTATATCAGTGAGCCAAAAGACAAAAAGCAGCCATTTAAATGTAACCACCTTTAAATACATAAAAACCTCTTTTACCTTGTAAAAAAAACAGGCAACCACCTCAAGCAGTTACTTAGCTTATAGAACTCCATTTCTTATCTCCAAAATAGGTTTGTTATTAGGATTAGAGGATATAGTTAATTTACATAATTATAGATCATATAGTATCTAATACAGCTCAATAAATGACAGCTAACATTTATGCAAACACAGAGGTGACAGGGTTACTACTTAACAGATGATTTATGGACTAAGTCACTCTTGGCCATATTTTCACAGTAGGTGGTAAAAGTACATTCCTAATATGATTCCTACCTTACCTGTTGGTCATGGGCTTAAGTTTACTTTCTGGACATGATCTGTGTTTTCCACATACCCTCTAGACAAAAATGTTTTAAGACAATTAAAATGGCATTAAACTAAAGAACCAATATGCCCTAATGTACTGATATATCTAGCAGTAAGAAAAAAATAAAATTGGCTATGAGATGATATTGAAGTTAGATGATGGGTATATAGGGCTTTATTTAGTACACATGTATACTAATGGGTACTCTTTTATGTGTTTGAAATTGGTGGTGTGCTAGTAAGCTGACTCCCTAGAGTGGAAAATGTCCTGCTTTGCATTTGCCAATTTCCATGGTGTAATACTCCTACCATGGCCAATTTTGGTCATCAACATACCATTGTAGACAGAGTTGGGAAAAGATGTGGGAAAAAATGGCTCCCAACCAGCAGAATCCAAATTTGTATGATAAACTTTTTATTTTAAAAAGTTTGAAAATATATTAAACTGATATATTACAGAGTAAAATTCACTTCATATCAATCCATTATTTTTACATTTATAATCAAAATACAAAGCTTGTGTTTACTATTGTTGGCCTCTTATCCACCCCTACCATATACCAGCCTCCTTTCAGCAGTTCTACATTCAGTGATATTTCACTTTTAAGCTTCATCTTAGCTTTTATTGGTATATATTTGAGAACCATTTAATTCCTCAACAATGCTGACCAAATGAACTATGTATAGTCTTTTAGCATGTAAAAATATTCCTTCCTATTTTGTTCATTGTGCTTGATTTGGATATTAGCTTATCATTCATCTAACTATTTATAAGCTCACTAGTTTGAAAAGCCATACTGATATGTTTTTGAACCAAACTTCCAGTTTACTCATTTTATTAGCAACCAGAATATTCACTATTATTAAAAACAAAGTTAAGGTTAGCTTCTCTCATATTTCTTTAAACCACTAAAGATTATTCCAAAATACTTATACTACTAATTGGCTAAGTACTGACACCGTCAGTTTTCTACTTCCGCAATATCCTAATATTAAATGACAACTACTGTATATCAACTCAAATTTTATACTTATTTGCTCAGTGTAGGAAATCTCTGGACACAGAATTGAAAAAAATTACCTAACTTGTTTTATGTAACTATAAAAAGCCAAAGTCAAATCATGTTTGATAAAATTAATTTTAAATTAGAAGCCAATATATAATGTTAGCATCCAAGAGAAACCCTGGATATATAAAAACTTTTAAAATTACTTTGTCTTTTGTTAGCAATGTTTGAGAACACTAATTTTACTTTTTAATGTCATTTTTAAAACTACAGTGGAAGTAAAAAATATGGTTCACTCTTGAAAATGTTGTTAGCAAGGTCTTACTAAAATTTAAAGTACCGTTTAACAAAGTTAGTAGGCAAAAAGTGTTAAGAGCATGAACTGAAGTCACTGGTGAGTGTGTTGAAACTGGCTCCATGATTTACTAGCTATGATTTTAGGCAAGTTATTTAACCTTTCTAACCTTTATTATCTCATCAATGAAACACAGGTAAATACTTACTCTATGGTTCTTACCATATTGAGATCATGCATGTAAAGCGCTTACACTTCCTAGCACACAGTAAATGTCCAATATTTGTTAGCCATTAATATCACAAGTATAGAAAAATCAAATGCAGTATTTGCAAAATTCTATGCTAAATGTCAAATATCAAAAGTCAAAATTTGACTTCACAAGTCTAATAGTTGTTTGGTCTTTTGATACAAAGTTTTGAAATTAAAGAATGAGAACCTAATAAAAATAGAAGTTATATGAATCATCAAAAAATTCTTCCTAGAAACACAAGCCATATCTATCAGGTGTTCCCAGCACAAGCCTGAAAGTGTCTTTGTACCTACAATTATTTTTTGTCTTTTTAAGTATTTTGAGTTAATCTTACCAGTTTGGTTGATGAGATGTTGAAGAAACCACAGGAACTTAACATAACACTCTACACTAGCATTACAGAATGTTTGGTCAGTCCTAAATATTGTTTAATGTAACTGTTGAAAAACTTCACAAAAGAAGCTGTAATTCTTTTTTTCCCTTTTATACAAATACAAGTTAATTAGCTGGTCTACTCAGTTGCAATTTTTTTATTTTTATAAAACTTTTCAAGTCATGAACATGGAAACTAAGAATCTCCTAACCTTTTTACATAAGTAAATTTCAAGTTCACAGTATGTTCATTTAGAAATATTTATAATTAATAGGAAGCTTAACACAGTAATAGCTCGGACAAGGAAGAGGGCATTAATTCTGCAGGCAGTCAGCAATGAAAATGCTAAACCTGAACAAATCAGTTACTGATGACCATTCCTTATACATTTTGAGTAAAATATATAGACTACAGAATGCAAACAAAAGTGAATATGAAACTTGTCTTCCCCAAATACAGCTCTACTTTATACAGGTCTTGAGGTATACCCATGACATCAACAAAAATTAATGAACTCAGGGAATTAGTCCTCTTCCCCACTGTCAAAAAAAAAAAAAAACATATATAACTTTAATTAGAAAAAGTAAACGGCAATTTGCAAGCAAAAGAAAACTAGACTTACATTCCACTAACATTTGTTCCAGTCACAGATCAAATTTAAAATGTTTTTCATTAGACTATTAAAATAAACACTTTTTAAGAAACAAATGTATTTTACTGCATCAATACTGTGGGGAGGTAACTCTGAATTTAGACGTGCTCTCTAGAGCAAAATTAACCGAACTTTGCGCGGGCCAACTGGCCTATCATTTAGATCTTTAATAGCAGCCATAGCTTCATTATAGTTTACCATAGCCACAATGGCTTCCCCTGTAGGTAATCCTTGCTCATTATACTGTATCCTAACTGAATCAGGTATGACTCTATAACCATGAAAAAAGTCTAGAATTTCATTAACATTAGCTTTAAATGGAAGATTCATTATCTTAATAGGTGTTATTCTACCTGAACTACAATTTAATTTCGGATCAGGCATAAATCTCCCCTCAGGAAAACTTCCCATATTACGCTTTCCAAAATCAAACTTGCCACCTTCTGGGCGACCGAAATTCACAAAAGGGCGATGACTTCTAAAATCATCTGATGGGCTCCTAAACTCTTCACCAGGCGGCCTGAAATTGTCAGGAACTCTAGAGTCCTCTGGAGCTGCCCTGAGATCTTCCTCCGGACACCGCCTGAAGTCCTCATCAGAAGGGCATCTAAAATCTTCCTCCTGGGGACTCCTAAAGTCCTCCTCAGTAGGATTCCTGAAGTCTTCATCCGGGAGGCGCCTGAAATCTTCATCAGGTGGATGCCTTAAGTGTTCCTGGGGTGACCGTCGGAATCGGAAATGCTCCTGGGGCGGCCGTCGGAAATGCTCCTGGGGCGGACGCCGGAAATGCTCCTGGGGAGGCCTCCGAAAGTGCTCCTGGGGGTGCCGCCTCAAGTCCTCTTCAGGAGAACACCTGAAATCCTCAGGAGAACGTCTGAAGTCCTCCACTGGTGGACGCCTGAAGTCCTGTTCGAAAGGTTGCCTTAAGTCTTCCTCCGAAAGTCGCCTGAAGTCCTCCTTAGGTCGTCGCCTCCATTCTCCCTGGGGAAGCCGCCTAAAGTCATCCTCAAGGGGTCGTCTCCAATCCTCCTCACGTGGCCGTCTGAACTCTCCCTCGGGAAGTCGCCTCCAGTCCTCCTCTGGAAGCCGCCTCCAGTCCTCCTTGGGGAGCCGCCTCCAGTCCTCCTTGGGAAGCTGCCTCCAGTCCTCCTCAGGGGATCGCCTAAAGTCCTCCTTGGGAGGTTCCCTGAAATCCTCCTCTGGTGGACACCTCCAATTCTCTTCCCTTGGGTGCCTTAAGTCTTCTTCCCCACGGTACCTGAAATCCTCCCAAGAGCATCTGAAGTCCTCCTCCTGAGGAGTCCGGAAATGTCCCTCGCGAGAGTGCCTGAATTCTGGGGAGCGCCTGAAGTCCTCTGGGGAATGCCTAAAGTCTTCTGGAGGGCATCTATCAGGCGGCTGGAAATCCCCTTGGGCGTGCCTGAAATTGTCCATCTGCCTCAAGTCTTCGTGCAGATGCCTAAAGTTTTCAGAAAGGCCCACTGCATATACCGGTAGATCATTTGAGTCAAATGAATGGGAAGGGTCATCCCTATCACATGATTTTGAATGGTCTTGCCGTCTCTTACTGGACAGCAAAGAAAAATTTACATCAAACTCCTGCATCTGTGCCTCAGATATAAGTCTTAACAACACCTCTGTCCCCAAGAATCTTCGACGATTTAAACGTTCAGCTTTCATGGCCTGTTCTTCTGATTTGAATTTCACCAGTGCTTCCCCCAGACCAATGCCTTTGTCATCATAAAGCAAGTAAATGTCATCCTCGGCAAGAGAAAAGTCTGCAAAGAACTTCTGTACTTCAACTTTTGTAACATCAAATGGAAAATTTCTCATATATATGCACAGTTTCTGGCCAGAGTAACCTTCTTGAGAATATTTTTGTGAAACATGTCCAATCCTCTCTTTCTCTACTGATGCTGGTCTTTTCTTTTCATAACATTCAATGAACTTCAGCATTTGTTTTCTAGAAATTGGATCAACAAGAACTGGACGATACTGTAAAACAGTCTTATGTAAACCCAGAGCAGTGTTATAGTCTTTCAGCGTCTTGAACATCACAAAGGCATATCTTGTTCTTCTTTCATCTTTATATAAAAACCTAATCTGTTCATTAGTCAGATCAGTATCTCTAAAGAAATTTCTTAAATCTCTTTTGTTAATACTTAGGGACAGATTTTTTAAGTGAACATAAAATCCCAGTGGGGAGCGAGAACGTGTTCTGGGAGATTTTGAATGAGATCGTTTTCGAAAATGCCTATCATTTATTCCTCTTAGTGGAGAATGTTCTTCAGTTCTCATAGGAATGTCACCCTCCTTACTTGTGCTACCACCAAGCTCAATCCACTGTTGTTCTGAGCCTTGCATTACTTCTATAAACCTGGAACCCATAAAACTTCTATGACATTTAAGACCTCCTGAAGCATCAACACATGAAGCAAATTTTACTATGGCATCACCATTATTTCGGCCATCATGATGTTTTAAGAAAATTACTCCATCTACACACAAACCAGAGAAAAAGACACGTACATCATCTTCATTTACTAAGTAAGGCAAACCTCGTAGAAACAAATAAGGATTCTCCGCCTTTAATGGTCGTGTCTTTCTTGGTCTTAAATCACCATGTCCTGTACCATTAGTATGAAACCCAGCATCTTGATTAATCGGAGAGCCATATCCAGAATTACTTGCTTCTTCTTTAATACCCTCAACAAAATTAGATAAGCAGCCAACCCCTGATGCCCCAGATCCCGGTCGCTCTCTTCCTTTGTGATCAGTTCTTTTCATTTCTATAGTCTTCTGCATTTCTGCCTTACTGCTAAGGAAGAGCTCTACAGATGAATCCTTGATAAACCCTCCTGAACGACTTATGGCACGTCTTGCATCTTCATCTGTTGCAAAAATAATAAAAGCCTCCCCAATTTCCCCTCCAATTATATGCACTCCTCCATCAGGAATAGTCAATCCCGTAAAAAAGTGACGAATATCCGCAGGCCCCGCAATAAAAGGAAGCCCCAGTAAACGGATGACTACAGCCATGCTGAGCTCAAATCACAGCAATAATGACCTGCAGACAAAAAGGTACACATAATAGCAAGTCTTATTTTTGAAGTACCTTATCCGACACTAAGCTTAATAATTACTTGGTTCCTACTTTCTTCAGCACTTTATAAATGACAACAAAATACGAGTTCACAAAAATATTGATTGTATCTAATTCTTTAAAAAAATAAGGAATAAACTTTTCTCCCATCTAAACATACAAATAAACCGACTACTTTGAAGACACATTTTCATATCACCTATCCTAAATAGTATGAACATCAAAAATATAAAATCTTCTTTGTAAGTCTGCCAAGTACTGTTTCACAACAAGACCAAAACATTTTCAGACTCACTAAGAAACATACTTTCTACTGACACATGAGAGAGAACTTTGCGGATGAAAGAATTTTACCATGATGAATTTTACATATTTATAAAAGCCATCTATGGTCAGTATATAATTTCTGCTTATTATATAATAAATTGCTTACCACTAGTGCATCCCTGGCCAGACATAAAGTACAGAAGCCATGGGTACCTAATACGTATTATTCTACTTTTACATTTTTTTGTCAAGCCTCTGTGAAAAGCCTTAAACTCTGAATATCTTACCTTTTTTTTTTAATTTCTTGGACACCTGTTAATTCTGTAAAAGCAACTTAACTGTGGAAAGAAAATGAAATATAATTAATCCCAGGCCTCTATAGTTGATTTTAAACAACGCCAGATTAGGATATTCACTTCAGAATGACCTAGTAAAAAAGTGAAGCAATATAGGGAACCACAAGTATGGGTGTTACAAGATGGTCTTCTTTGTTCTGAGAGGAAATAAATCATTCTTTAGCAAAAAAAGGCCTACAAATTCGGAGAAGACATCTGCAAATAATTTTTTAAAAAACTTCCTATAAACTGAACTTGATTGAAAATGGTACGAGGAAAGGGGTGATGGAAATGTTATAGATTTTCACTGGAGTGTTGGTTGCATGGGTACATAAGTCTATCAAAGCTAAATAAATTTTATCTTTAAGGTCTGTGCTTAAATTGTATATAAATTTTACATCCACTTAAAAAAATAGAAAAGACAATCTTTCCACAAGTAAAATAAAATTTAAAAATAAAAAAATTCCCCAAAATTTTATATCTCTTCCAACCATGAAAAGACCAAATACCTAACTCACTAATATGTCTGACACTTGTAATTCTCTTCCCTTTCAAAACGTAAGACCAAATCAAATTAAAAAGGTGACCATTCAAAAGATCAAATAAAAGAATAAAACACTTCAAAAACCAATTTTTAAAGCAAAATCCAAATAATGGCTACCATTTGGATACAATTTTAAATTCTACATACACACTTCCAAACATGGAACCAAATATAATTAAAGCAAATATTGAAATATCTCTAAAATCAAAAATCTCAGCTACTACCATTTCTTATCTTAAACTCCACTATTACACTACCCCATAAACTCCTAAAAGAAATCACTATTCATCTCAAGTCAAACAGAAAATGTTCAGATACAGAATCTTCTCAAGCTTCCATTTCAAACAACTACCCTGGGTTCTAATGAATAAACCCAAATGACAATGTAGAAAAGTAAAAATATCTGGAATGTTTGGGGACTATCAGTAGGAACTACTGAAAAATCTCAACCTAGTGTTTCCTTAAGGAAATTCACATCAACTTTCAGAGATAACCTAACAATATTTAATCTAGTTTTCCAAGGAAGTTTTTAAGAGCCATTAAATTAATAATTATAAATTGGTTTTTAATGTACAAGTAAGTGTTGCTTTAATTCAATACTTACACACAATTACCACTTTTCCACAAAGTGGGGTCTGAAGACACATTCTTTGAAGTCTGCAGGATTTATTTTCCTTTGAAAAGTGTCCAAAATTAAACTTTATAAACTACAAGCTAAACTAAAAAAAGATATCAAGAAATTTCTTGGCATCTTAATTATCAACGTCAAATATTAAAAATGTTAATGAGATTTACTATTAAAATATTTGCATGGTATATGTGGGGGCAGGGTAGGTATTTGGGAAATATCTGTACCTTCTGCTCAAAATTTCTGTAAACCTAAAAAAACTGCTCTAAAAAACGGTCTATTTAAAAGAAAAATCTGCACAGTACCAAAAAAAAATCAAATATAAGCTAATTCTTCAACAAACCAAATCTACACCAGCATTTTAACAAAAACTATAAATGGCTTCTGTAATAGTTGTCACCATTCAAGTTCTAAAGACTCCTTCTTATACAAACTGACTTAGCTCCTTTTTTCACTTTTAAACTGTTTTAGAAAACATGTAAGATACATACCATGTTTCTCTCCCAATTTTTTTTAATTTTAAAAGGAATTTACCCTGAGAACATAAACAAATCTACAAGAAAAGTTAGGGATGTTTCAGGGAATAATTATGTCAAATTCCAAAGATTTCTAGTAATTTATCCTCCCTAACTTAAAAACAATATTTTACCTAAGTAGTTCCTTGAGGGCAAATCTCATGAATTCCAATTCAAGCAGACTATATTAAAAATGTGTTTTAATTTGCCACTGTTAAATATAACTAGTGCTTAAAATTTTTTCCCTTCAGATACTAGGGTAATGTACCATTTATCTCTGCAATAACACAAGAGACCACTTATAAGTGACCAGTTCTCAAAATGAACACTTTTCCTCTGTTTGCCAAGTAATTTCCTTAAGCAAATTCTCCAGAAACTCCATTCGTAGAACATTACACAAAAAACCAAAATACTCTAAAGCACTTAAAATTTTTCTACTTATGAATGCAACAAAAGTATTTTTCGTGACTGATGATTTAAAGACAGTGACAGATTGGAACTTCAAACCTATGAAAAGAAGGAAATGGGTCCTTAGAAGCTCGTTTAAGGGCAAGTCACTGAAATTAATGAAATCATTTTAAACTCGTTTTGCTGCACTTTTATCCAACAATTCATCCCCCTTGGTTATCATTATCATTAAACAATGAAATGTACATCCTCTAATCAAGCCTGAGAGGGCACTGGAGGCTAAATTTAAATAGGTATTATTTCAGATCCACTTGATTTTAACTAGCAAATAACAAAGTCATTCCGAACATGGTGAGGGAGCAAAAATTGCGACGTTTCAAATCTGTTACGATAAAGTGCATTCAAACTCTAAACGCATAAATTTCCCCCGCAGAAAATAACCTACCCCCAGTCCACAATTATTCTTTATAATGGCCTGCCTTTTATCCTCTTATAATGTAATGGTTCAAATGAAAACCAAAGGCATGAAGACAGAACCATAGTCCCCAATAGGCTCTGTAAATGAAGACGAATCCACACGGCACAGGATTTCTCATATCATCATCCATCAATCCTCAAATGGGGATCAGCGGAAGGCATCACTTCTACAGCCCAAAGCCTTTGTCCAGATTCCCAGGGGTCAGAGCTTCCTTTTTTCACGCCAGGCCCAGGTTGCTATGTGCGATCCGATGCTGCCGCCAGACCTTCCAACAAAATCAGCTTTCAAATTAACCTGGACCGCCCCACCTCCGTGCCTTTCTGTTCCCGGGTCCCAAGGGCAAACAATCCGCCCTAACTCGCCAGAGCGTGAACTTCCAAATTTAAAACACTTTGGCCCCTCTCGCGCCTAACGAGCCGGGCCTTCAGCGCTTTCCTGCCACCGCTAACTACAATGACAGAGCAAAGGAAAAAAGATACCTATGAAATCCCTCGAGATCTTCACTTTTACGAAATCTGGAAAGCGCACACACAACAGCACTTGAAGGCTGACGGGAGAGTGAGTGTTTAGCAAGTAAAGAGGGTGCCCTAACGGCAGAAACTGAGCTAGGTCCTGGCGTGGCTGCCGGCCCCGCCTTTCCCAGTTCTTCCGTCCCAGACGCCAACTCCTCCCCACCCCCGACGCCCCCAGGGTAACTGCTTCGCACTTGACAATAAACACACACCACTGCTGCGGAGTCGGACACACTGGCCGGGGGGCGGGGGGAGCACCCGTCGTCGTCGCAGCAGCCTCCCCAGAAGAGGTAGAGACAGCCCTCAGTGAGCCTAGAAGAAGATGGCGCCCACTCTCCCCTCCGCTCCGGACAAACGGACGTACAGTTTGCCCATGCGCTCTCCAGGCGTAACCCACCACCCCGGCGCCCCGGCCAGGTTTGCGCACGCTCCCTGACACTCACCCGTTTCCCGTTATCGGGGGTGAAGGGAGGCACCAGCCCGCACCCGCCCGCCTTTGCTGAGCTTCTGCGCATGCTCAGATTCCAGCCAATCCGGGAGCCACACCTAGGAAAAGCGATAATTCAACACAGAACTTGGGAATCAACCGGTACCTAGAATGAGAACCTTCAATAAAGAACTGCTTTAGTACATTGTTCAGTGGATAAACGTTCGTGATTTCCAGGAGTAAAGGAAAAGGAAGTAAAAGCAGAGAAAATTGGCAATTTCTTTTTTTTTTTTCAGTGCTGCAGTTAATGTGTGGCATAAGCATCTTCTGAAAGGATCTTTGTAAACTATAAGAGGCCACAAAATAATAGTTTTTTTACTACCTTAGATATTCTCAAGATACAATGCCAGCACCCAGGAGGCTTAATAAATGCATGTTTATTCAATCTGATAGACATCAATAATTTTATGTCTGCATTTGTTGTTCCTATCTCACGGTGTTTTGAAACATAGGAACAAGCCAATCATGAAAAGTGAGAAAGCACAATTACAGTCATGTTCTATAATGCCTGCTCTGTAATAGCTGGTGAACCACCTTGTGTTTGATTTGATTTTATTGTTTACAAATAAAGCAGCCCACCACATTCATAACTACACACGCATTTATCAGTTGTTTCAAACCTCACTAACAAAGCAAAAAACACATCTTTAAAATAGTTACAGGTGAGAAAAAATGTTTCCGAGTCCTTGCTCACTGCAAAGTACACGTTCTTTAATTTAATATGATTGTGAGTAAGAAGAAGTAGTTTAACAAATGGACAATAGGTGGTTCCTGGAGTGAGAGCCACCATTTATTTACTCACTTGGGCAAATCACTTAACCTCTGTGCCTGTTTCCTCATTCGTAAAATGAAGGTAATAACAGTAGCTACCTATTAGTGTTGCTGGAAATGTTGAATGACTCCCTGTTTCTCAGTGTCTCTCTGTCGCTCTCTCTTCTTCTCTCTTCCTCTCTCTTCTGTCTCCACCCCCCGCCTTCTTCTCTCTTTCTAAAAGCAATAAAAAGAAGAAGAGTAAGGAGTTCATTCAAAACATAATAGAGGCCACAGGGTTAGGAACATTTACAAAGTGAATGTCTTCGACACGTATGTGCCTCCCAAGCCGTATGTGAACCTACATTACTGTGTGAGTTGTGCCATTCACAGCAAAGTAGTCAGGAAACATTCTCATGAAGCCTGGAAGGACCAAACACCCAACACTGATTTAGCACCCTGCAGGTACTGCCCTATGACCTCCACCAAAGCCCACACAAGGAGCTAAGACCTTAAGGACTGATGAAAAGTTTTCTGGAAAAAGATTAAAAGGAAATTGTACTCAAAAAAATAAAATAGAAGGCACACAAAAGAAATGTTCCAGAATGTTAAATTGTTAATATTAATTCACAAGAATAAATACTATTAAAGTGAACCCGAGATGAACTCAGTCTGACCAGAACTTTCCTGGCTATATACACACTCTATATGAAGTCATATGATCAGGGAGTTGTTTGCTAAGCATGGAAATAGAACACAAGTTACCTAATCTCAAAAAGTGTTTCTCTATTAAGGGTACCTGGAAACACTCTCATCTATGTTATTTTTAAAATTGGTCTTAGAAAGAGAGAGGAAAGGAGAGAGAGGAACATTGACCTGCTGCCCCACCCATTCACACACTCATTGGTTAACCACTGTATGTGCCCTGAATGGGGGGGACTGAGGATTGAACTGGAAACTTGGTGCATCATGATGACACTCCATCCAACTTAGGTACCCAGCCAAGACCATTCTCATCTGTTTTAACAAGAATAACAGTTATCATTTAATGAGCACTTACTATAGGATTCATCTGAACAAGTGTGCTTAGATCAGACTGCCTTTCTTGGATAGGCTTGGATAGGTATTATCAGCCTCCTTTGTTGTTCTAGGATGACCATTTCTTTCTATTGACTCAAATTTTCTCCAAACAGGACACTGTAGTGAATGCATGTCTTTTCTATTCTGCTTCTGCCTTTCTCAGATAACCATACCATTACAATTAAATAAAGAATTCAGTCAAAGTATTTGGGTTTAATTACATGATATTCTGGTTCTTGAGTAATTTCTTGAGTCTTTAATGTGTCAACATTAAAACCTGATCATTCTAGAGAACAGAGAGAATTAACTTTCTGGAACAGCAAAACAAAACTATACCCCGAAATATGGTAACCACACCAAGCCTCAGCCATTCTGTGCCTCTGCCTGGGTAATTAGCCTCTCTCCCAAGTGTACTATCACAACTACAGCATTACCTACCTTTGTGGATTATTTTGGTATCAGATAGTATTCAGTTGCCTTTCCTAACTCTTCAACATCCACAAGAACAGTCTTCAATCACTTGGTCTCAGAGTTCCTTGATCTTGTCAGCTCCAAGGTGCTTCATGTCTCTTGCACACTCTGACTCCCATTCAACTGGCATTTCTTGAGTATGGACTGTGAGTCAAGCACATTGCTTAAGGCTCCTGCAAGACAAACCTGAAGAACTCATATTTCTCTTTCCTTAAGGAGCTCATACTATAGCAGAAGAAAGAGCATGCTTGTGCAGCTAGTCATCACATATGGGAAGATGTGTACAGCCTAGGAATTAAGATGATGGGCTCTTGGATCAGGAAGATCCAGGTGTAAATTCCACCTCTGCTACTTCGTGACTATAGACAATCCTTGTCCTTAGACTTCTCTATGTATAGAGTGAAAACAATAGTACCCATAATGCAGGTCCATTATGAGAATTGAGTGAAATAATGTTTGTAAAGCACTTAGCACAGTCCTTAACATGTAATAAACTTCACTTAGAATCCAAGAAGTCTGGTTCAGAAATCAAAATACCATAGTTTCAAGCCTAACTCTGTCACTTATGAGCTGTATCAGTTTAGTTGCTGAACCTCTCTGTGCCCTGATTTCTTCACTTATCAAATGAAGATGACAATAGCAAGATTGTTGTGTAGATAAAATGATCACATACACACACACACACACACACACACACAAACATACACACACATATTAAAGGTGCATAATGAAACACCAATAAAGGCTTATAACATGAAATCTTACATGTTGCTCTGGTGGCTTGAATGCTCATTTCTTATTTTCCCCCTGCAGTGGTCCTCAGAGGCACAACTGCAAAACTCCTAAGGGCCGTTGGAAGACTATTTGGATACCACTGACTAAATAAGGGGCTCCCTCAGTTGTGTGTGTGACTGAAGTCAGATCTAAGAGACTTAACAGGATTAACACATGAACGACATTGGTAAATAAGAATGGAACAGGACCCCAAGCATTTAAGTTGGATAACTCCTTTCCTGAGGTAAATGGGAGTCTTGTCTCCATGGTGGAAAGACAGAGTAGACTGAGATCCTGAACATTCTACTAATGCTATAGGTTAATACAGCAGGCATGCAGAAAGAGTACTGTATCAAAATCTTGGTGTTTCATTTGTGGGCAGATAAACCGGGAGGAACTGTTGGGAACCACCCTGCCTGGTTTCAGAAGCTGTAACCCCCACCAAGGCTAAGGCTGAGGAAACAAACTTGGACCATAAGCCACCAAAAAGACAAAAGCTTATCTCCCTGGCAGGAGCACTGCTTCTGCTCTTTTTACTTCATCCATAACTGGCCCCCAATGCTTGGTCGGTTAGCCAATGACAGGTAAGATTCCCCAAGGGGGGAACAACTTAAGACAGGCATGATCACATGGGAGACACCCAAGGAAAGATTTGGGGGGCTACAGCAAAAGGGGGTGATGGACCCTCACCCCTCAGCTTTGACAAAGCCTGAGTCCTCATTGTCTGCAAGAAATCTCCTCATCTCTTGGCTGCCTTACTTCCCTTGCTCCACCTAAGCCTGAAACAATGACAGAGGGTGGTGCAGCCCTGTGCTAGAAATGGCAGGTTGCCCTGGTGATCAGACCTAAGAAAGAATATGTAAAATCCTGTGAAACATGCTTTGTTT